CTTGAGTCCTGCCAGCAGCCAAGCATCCACATGCACTCCAGGACAGCGGAGAGAACAGGAAGAGAAAATGGAAGAAAACTGAGGAGTCAAGATAAAGACACTTAAGTAAGTGACAGAAAGGGGAAACCAATCATATGAGAACTAAGTGATGGAAAAACAATGACTCACTATTTCCCATAAGAGAAATCTTCAAGTAATGGCCAGAAAGAAAAAAACCTCTAATCTTCTTCCTCTACCCCAGGTTTTACTGCTGAGCATAAGGTTGTACAACATGGAACATCCCTTTGCTCAATTCAGGTTCAGATGTCTTATTTAGTCTCCTCCTAACTTCTTGCACAGGTCCAGCCTACTCATACTCACTGGAGTGGGGGAGGAGCAGCACACTGGGGAAAAAAGCAAAAGCCCTGTGTTTGCAATCACTGCCACACAATTATTGTCTTACCAGCATCACCTTCTTTAGCCACAAACCCAAAATTTAGCACCAAAGGGCTGCTAGGAAGAGTTAGCTTCAACCTGGACAGATCCAGTAGATCAGAACCAAAAAAATGAAAATAATGAAGTCCCATTCTGGCAGAGGAATGGTTAGACTGGAACTAATAAAATTACTCCCAAATAAAATTACACATGCTCTTGACAACTGGGAGCAGTACAAAGCCTTCAGAAAACAAGGGATCCAGTAAGTGCAGCCTTAGAGCCTGGTCCAAATGTGCTTCCAGCAAGATGAACACAATTTTCAGAAATAGGGAAATTATAGAAATAATGTTATTCATCCCAGGACTGCGTTTGGAAGCTCAGTGACATTTTTGACTTGACAAAATGATTTTTGATGCCTTCCTGATGGCTAAGTGTGGTTGTTTTTTTGTTTTCTTTTATGCTTTATATAAGCAGAGTTATGGAGTGCCTGGGTGTGTTTAATTATGATAAGGTTTGGAAACATTTGTCTGTGCAACAGACACTCATGCAAGGACTGCCTTATGTGAAGAAACTAATTTATGACTTTGGGTGGAGTTGTAAGTAAGAAGGAGTAAAATAGCACTTTCCCTCCCACCTCTCAGAGAGCAGGGAAGGCAAGGCTCCTTTGCAGCAGGAATGATGCAAAGTGCCTGCTGCAGAACCCGGGCTGACTCTTTTACTATGGAGTTTTCCTGGGATGACACTTGCCCACAACTACTCCTCCCTCCACTCTCCTCAGGGTTTTTTTTTACAGTCTCTGAATTTTTAATTATATTCACTGGCTTGACACAAGCTGAGCAGTTATTTTATACTATCATACTCCCTTGTACAAAGAGGGAGAGCAGCATGCAATCCCAAAGAAAGATACTGAAGAGAGAGGAGTTTGTCATTTCAATAGTCAATGTGATATTTTGGCTGTATCTGAAGAGCAACATTTATAGAAAATAGATGTGTAAATTGCCTTTTATATGGCTCTTCAGAGGTTGCTTTCAGAAAATTATTTATTGTTCCAGATGCCTAAGCAGTCAAGGATACTGACTGACTGGAAAGAGTTCAGAGCAGAATAGTAAAAAATGATCACTTAGTGCAGATGTTTTGATTAATGTTTTTTTAAAAAGTGATAAATGGATTAAAGGGATAAAATACAGCTTGGGGCCAGACTAAATGATGAGCTGGGGAGGACACGGGCCTCTCCAAATATGAATAAACACAGTGAATAAAACAATAACACATAGCAGCAAACCATTGGGTAAACAATGACATGCTCAACTCAGAGCCACAAATTATTCTTCTACACATCAAACTAATCAAAGGATACTTGAAGTTAAATCTTCTGTCATACATTTCTGCACAGACCTACTTAATAGAAAGGCAGATGTAGAGCTTGGACAGAACAGAGGATGAGCTTCTGGAGTTACACAGGCACCAAAGAAGTTTTCTTCTTGAAACGTCTGCTTCTGTATCATATTAATACATTCTTTTTTCTAGCAAAAAATGGCACAGTGTTCACTGTTTACTTATTACTATGTAAACACTGAACATTGTGCCACTTTCTTTAGTTTGTCAACAGTTTGATCCACAATCTTGCTTTGCAGTCGACATAAATTCACCCAAGCATTAGCGAATCTTTGTTGACTTTGTGGTTCTTAAGGTCACTCAGTTTAAAATTTTTTTGTTACACCTTATCAAATATACCAGTTACTGCTGGTTTAGGACAGTTTCCATGCACAGCTTCTGAATGTCAAACTCATTTTCTTGTATTGGGGTGATAGAAGAAATCTTTTGCACTTGAGAGCTCCTGTCACTCTATAGAAGTGTACCATGAATTCAAAACAGACAAAAGTAACTTCTGGATAAAACTGAAATAACTGGATCATACCCTTGTTTTCCTAGGTTGATGATTACCTCACATACAAAATAAGTCAGGGGCTACTTCTATTATTTAGGCTGTGAAGTGAGTGAGTCCTAAGCTAGGAAATGTCAGAGGAAAGTAATTAATCTCATCCTCTGTGTGCACTGTATTTCAACCTTAAGTTATCAAAGCACTGCGAGGGGACCACAAAACAACACCATGAAGGCCATGACGACCCTAAACCTGCTGGTGAAAAAACAGAGATATTCTGATTCTTCTTTTTTCCCCACAAGTGACATAATGATGCCTTTTTTTCCATATGATTAGCTCTTTGAAAGTTAGAAGTATTGAATAGTTTGTTAACCTGTTATTTCCTTTTTTCCTTTTCTAAATGTGGGGCTCCAGGTCTCATTCTCTGCACACCATGTGAAGCTGGCCCTGAGTATGTATAGATTTACTTGTCTACTAATAAAATTCCTACTACTATGCAAAACTATCCTGATATTTGACCATGTTGGAAGTATCACAGAAATTATATTTCATCTATTCAAGGGAATGAAATTAGTAGTATATTTTACCAATGGGAAAGAAAAGATTATAGGCACTTGCTTCAAACTAATGAGTGCTCATCAATTTTGTCAATCTGCGATACAGAGATTCAAATTTATTTTTGATAGTTACACTTTTTTCCCCCTTTTTTTTAAATCTTAGGAATTTAATATACGCTTTGATATATTCAAAGCATGGCTTCCATCCAAAGTGAATGTAAAGACAAAGTATTGAGAGTTTCTTCAGACCTACTTCTGGGTGTGTATCAAGAAAATAAAGAACAGAGAATCTCAGTGAGATTCTGGCTTTTTAAAGATGATTTGTCCTGCAGTCATCCTGATGGAAATACAGTGACAAATGTAGGGGTGGAACCTGTTGTGTCACCTTGGAATTACCACATTCATCTTTTCCTGCAAGCTGAAATCAACACTTCAGTACTCTTTTAGCTGGCTTGCTCAGCACACACACGTGATTTAAGCAATGAGAGCAGTATTTCATGCAGTGCTGGCAAAAAAATCATACCCCAAAAATGGTAAGGCCTTAATGAATGTGAAAAACGCCAATCACTCGTTTTTTAAAATTTTAAAAGTTTAATAATAATAAAATGGTTATAAAAATAGTAATACAATTAGAGCAATAAAGTTTAGAGTTAGGACAATTACAAGACAATAAAAGGTAAAGAATTACAGATGTCTAGATGCTCTTGGACACTAAGTCACAAAAAGCATCCCTTGTGAACAAAGGAATAACCTTAAAAGCAATAGCCTGTTGCATATTCATATGTCTCATACATGATGCATAAACTCCTTGCAAATTATGAACTTTTCTGGTTCTTGTCAACTTCTTCTCCTTAATCTTGGTGGTTCCAAAAAGACAGAGAGAAGGTGGAAGAATGTTTGTCTTTCCTGATAAGGAGGCTGTAACTTTTTATGGGCCGCCTTCGCTGACATCTGTGTGAAGTTTCTTGATTATCTCATCTTCCTAACTGAGCCTGTAACAAATCCTATATCACAGAGTTTCTATTTTAACATTATGTTGTAACCCAAAACTACATTTAACACACTACTTAATTAACATAAGATAACTTTCTAACATTACACATATAACACATATATTCATTGTAACATTTATAAAAAGCCAATCATAAAATATACATTTTTACAATGAAGAACCAGAAAAAGGGTAAGACCTGCCAGAAACAGGGTAAGGCCTTAGGGCAGATCTTGTCCTCTGCAAACAAAAACTTCACTATCATACTAGTAAGAATGCTTAAATATGGACCAAAGATGTGTTTATCTGAAGTCCTACCGTTTAAAAGATAAAAATTAATACAACTGAATAATAAGCAAGTAAATACAGATTTTAAAAATAAGGGATCTCAAAAAATGCATCTATACATTGCCAAGATAGCAAATGCTTTTCTAATGGGAGGTTCCAGGGACTTTGATGTGCTGATAGTATTTTACTTTTTAAAAAAATCTTTACTTATAGAAAACCAATGGTTACTTGAAGAACATTGGGAAGGAACGGAACGGTATCCACAGACAGCAGTGCCAAGGGGCAGGTAAAGCTTTGGCTTTGCCAGTTCCACTATTCCCCACAGGCCTGCAGCTTCAGGGAGTAACCGGAGAGTAACTGGGGAGGGCGTGACCGCCGGGCACCGAAGGCCAAATCCCGCAGCCCCGACCCGTCCGGCCGCCCGTGCCGAACCCCACGGAGGCACCAGGCTCTGTAAAACTCTGCAGGAGCTGCGCGGCCCGGCCCGCGCCTCCTTCTCCGCCATTGCCACACAGACCGCGCGCCCAGCCAGCGCCGTGCGCCGCAGCCAATGGGAGCCCGCCCGCCGGCCCCGCAACCAATGGGAGACCGGAGCCAGCCGCCGCCGCCGGCCCCGCAGCCAATGGGAGAGCGCGGCCAGCCGATGTTGACAGCGTCCGAATCCAGGACTCGGCAGCGGAGTGATCGGGCATTCAGCAGCGCCAGCAACCAATCAGAATACAAACCCTGCCCACCGCGGGATCCCATTGGTTACACGCCAGACCGGATCGGCGCAACAACCAATCGGCGGCGGCGGAGGGGCAGCGCGCGCGGTTTGAATCGGGGCGGGAGCGGCCGGCCGCGGCGTGTGGGGGCGGCCGGAGCCGTGCCCCGGCATGGACAGCGACGCGATGCAGGGCGGGCTGCGGCGCAACGAGGCCCGCTTCATGGCTACCATGAGCCGCATCCTGGAGGAGGTGAGCTACGGGAAGCGCTGCCTGGGGGCAGCCGGTCCGTGCTGCGCCGTGCCTTGGCAGGAGCGGGCCGGCAAGCGCCAGCGCCCGGGATGCAGCAGGACGGACAGCCGGCACTGACCGTGCTGGGTACGCGACTCGGTGCCCTCATAGTGCCCTTAACCCCCATTAGCTTGCCTAAGACAGGGGGTTTTCAACGACAAAAAACAAAAGCAACAAAAAAAGTGGGGTACTCGCTCCGTGAATCCTTTGTGAGTCGTTCTGTGTTCTTCTCCCAGCGCAGGCACACGCGTTTATCCCGGGATGCGGCTTTCCCCTTCGGGAAATGTCTTGTGCCGCCGCCAGGTTAAATCGGGCTCTAGAAGGATTTTCTCGGCTTTTTGTTCTTTTTTTTTTTTTTTTTTTTTTTTTTTTTTTTTGTTTTGATTTTTTTGTTTTAGCTGGCGGCTGCTATTAGTTTCTACAGCAGGCGTTTGAGTGAAACTCTCAGCGACTTAACTGCATTTTAAAACCCTTTGGAGCCCTGGCTTATGCCTTAGGTTGAATTGCTTGCACACACGCTTAAAATACATCGGTTTCCTGTAGGAGTTAATATTTCCAGATTGCTGATTTCTAGCTTTAGCCAATAAAACAACATACTGATAACTTCATATTTAGCATAAAGCAAAAAAATTGTCCTAAAAACAAGACATAAAACAGACATTAAAGACATTACTTTGGTCATTTGTTCTAATATTTAATGCTACTTTTTTTTTAGTACAATCATCCTTTTGAAGATGACATACTTGTTTCCATGGACACTCTCACTTACGATACACCTGACGGTAAGATCTCCTTAAAGCTACAATATTTGCATAGTGTAGGTGTGGTCTTAGTAAAGCATACATGTGTTGGCAGCTACAGAATATTTAAGTGCGACAGATACTGAATTTTGTTCACTAACATATGACATTTCATACGAAGACTTTAGTAATACCAAGAGTTTACTCCTATGTGCATGTTTAATCTATTGCATGCCCCATTTTAGACAAGAAAATGGTTATTAGCAAAGTTCAGGATAAAAAATGGGCAATTTTTGGATGACATAGTGAAAAACGCCAAACACTTGGTTTTTAAAAGTTTAATAATAATAAAATGGTTATAAAAATAGTAATACAAATAGAGTAATAAAAATTTAGAGTTAGGACAATTACAAGACAATAAAAAGCAAAGACTTATGGACCATGTCTGGATACTCTCAAGCCCTTAAACCACAAAAAGCATGCCTTGTGAACAAAGGAATAACCTTTAAAACAATATACTGTTGCATATTCATATATGTTTGATAGTTATGCTTACATTCTATTTAAAATAAAAAACTCTGCTATATTTCAACTGCTTCTTTTAATCCCCATGGTATCTTGGAGTCTGAGCAAGGCCTGAAGAAATTAGCTTCTGATAAGAAAACCATAAATTCTTCTTTGGAAGATTTACATGCTGTGTGACTGTTATCTCAAAGCAAATACCTCATTCCTTTAAAAAAACCCCACAAACATAGTTTCTATTGTAACTACTAAACCTTCACTTTAACTACAAAGCTACATTTACCATACTATTAAAATGTCAATACAACACAACTAATTAATATAATACATATAGTAACTATCTGCGTAGAGACATTTAATATGCATTACACACTCTAGTATACTACCAAGAGTTTACTCCTATGTGCACGTTTAGTCTATTACATGCCTCATTTTAGACAAGACAAGGGTTATTAGCAAAGTTCAGGATAAAAAATAGGTAATTTTTGGATGACATGAAGGAAGAAAATTGAAAATGGAATAGACTGTAAGGAAGTAAAGGAGCTTCCGAAGCAAAAGAAGCTTTTAGCAGCTTTTCCTTGAAAATCACTTCTGTGACTGGCCTCCCTCTTCACCAAAAATCAAGCCCTATCAAAAGTACCACATACATGAATTGCCACATCAGTTTTTGTAACTTACTGGAGAGATTGGGGATGTACCAGAGGTGCACCAAAAGTTTTTACAGACTGGCAGGCTTGCATCTCGTATCTGTTATCCATTGGGAGCGGGAGGCAACATTCATAGAGTACTCTGATAGATGCTGTTGCTGTACAGCTTTGGATTTGTAAAGGTTTGGTTATGCTTTTGGGTTAGTGGCATCTGTTCAATATGGAATGAATATGGATCTCAGTCCTGAAGAGCTTTAATTAGGGCTTTAACTAACCTCAGATACCATGGAGTCTGCCTTCATCAACTAAAATCTAGAAACTAAAATAATTTACCTTTTTTTCCCATCTTGGTAGAATATGGGGCTGTAATGCTCTTTGGATTTTAGCTCAGTCTTGTTAGACTCAGCATGTGATTATCTTTTTTGTCTTGCCTGCCTTCACATCTTGAATTACCATATTCTCCTTATGTTTTCCTTTAAATTTTTATTTCAGCAAATGTGGTAGACAGCTCAGATTTGCTAATGCTATGTTATTCTGGAATATGTTCTTCCTAAATGTTTGTTAGAGTGATATTCAGTATAGGTGGTATTATAATATGTGGTAATACTGTTGATTTTTGTTTTTTCTAGGACCTAAACAATGGGAGAAAGTGTCACGGAAGGATGCTAGAAAATGGAAAAAGAAAATATTTAAGGTATTTAATAATACAGTCCTACCATGCAGCCAAAATGCAGCAATATTTCTTCATGGATGTATAGGTAGATATGATTATATTCCAATCTTACCTTTGCCATATAATATTTTCAGAGGTATTGAAGAGGTTAACATCTGCTTTGAAATAGAGTTTTAGGATAGATTAAGATTTTTCTGAAACTTTAGGCTAAAATAGATGACCATTTATCAGTGGTTAGCACCACTAGTAAACCTGGAGAATTTTTTTTTTCAATTGCTGTCTTTTAGGAATGTCTAGTTTTGGAACTCATTAGAATGTTTTCAGTGCAGTTAAAGCATTGAATCAATTTATCTTTGCTCAGGTAATCAGCTCTTTGATTCCTCAGGGGCTTCTGGTTTCATCTTTACTTGCCTTTTTTCTTCCCTGTGAAATAATGCCAGATTAATTAAAGAATCTTTGCAGTGTCACCAGCCAGTGTGTCAGGTAAGCCCATGGCCTGTATGGTGTGCCTTGGCAGTTAACCCAGAGCTGTTCTGAACAGCACAGAGTGAGGGCATGAGGAATGCAATTCAATCTGAGGAAACAAGAGTGCATTTAATGGAGACCACCAAGAGCCTCTAGTTTGGGTTTCCTTTCCACTCCTGGTAATACCTCATGCACAGTCTACAAAGCATTGCTGCACAAGTTTCCCAACCAAATCCATAAAAGACTGTGAGGGAAATTCTCTGTCTTAGCCTCTTATGTGGGCCGAGGTATGTTCTTGCAGTGACTTTAGCAGCAAGAGTAAGGGAAAGAGTAAATTATCAGGTAAGTTTTACCAGACACTTGTGGCTTTTCTGGTCAGGCCAGGGCAATCCTGAGCAAATCACATGGTTTTGTAGCTGTGGGCTATACTAAAGTAAATAAAGAAAATGGTTAAAATTATTGTGCTTTTCTTTGATTATTCTTTTTTATTCTATTGCAGCATAATAGTCAAAGACCAAGGATCACAGGTATTGTTTGTTTAAAAAAAAATCCTGTTATAAATTATCTTAGGCCAAGAGTCTTGACTTAAACGAAGGTATTCAGGTTCATGCTAAACCCTTTAGGCTACTGACTGGGCTTTGTGTGAGAAACCATCTAGTAAATCATCAGTACTTCTGTTCAAGTTGTTAAATTTGGGTGAACCCTTTTCTCATAATAAAAAAAACAAGCTTGGATAGATTTGTATTTATGCATGTATTTATATTTATTCCATAGAAAATAGAATCTCACAGATTTTATCCTGTTTAAGAAAGCCATACCTTGCTCC